GAAGTTTATCCGATTCCAAGTCCATATTCCCTTATTCTTAAGTTCCCCAATTCATGACTTCCTCCATTGCTTGTAAGTAAACATGTGAGTGAAAATTTTCCCTATAGATGAAAATAACTACAGTATCAAGAATGGGTATTGGAATGATTCCAATTCCTGCTTCTACTGTGTTCACTAACACATTGGTATTGGAATGATTGCATTTCATGATCTCCCTGCGTTCCAAGGTTTATGTGGTTCCAAAAATCCATAATAAATACACTCCAAATCATGAATGAGATCTAGGGAAGTAGTTGATTTGATTCCAAATCATTAATTCCTCTATTGCTAAGTTCCTCAATTCACGGTTTCTCTCATTTCTGATAAGTAAACATGACTTTATTGTAACAGTTAAACTTTCGTCACCAACAAGTGTTTTAGGTGATGATGTGAAAATTTCATCCCATATCGTGGCAAGATATATTCTCACATTTTAAAAAATTCCATTGCGATGAAATACGTCAGCATTTACAACTCAGCAAGTGGTGAAATTGTCGTGTGTGTGTGTGTTTTTTTTTATACAAGCAATAGTCTAAATTACTCTAAATTTATCTAATTTATAGGAAGGGGGACTCAAACTTGAGTACAAGAGGGCATGCTAACTTTCTTGGCTAACTGGTGTAACCCATGTCTGCCAAATTGTCGTGTTTTTGTTGGTCGAGAAAAGCGTTACTTGTTTGGTTCAAGGTTTAGGAGCTTGGGAATGGGTTTCAAATTGCATTCAGTGTTATCTTGGGAATGTAATTCTGGACTCATGGATATGGACTTCCCATGTAGGGGAAATTTCATACCATTGGCTCACCTTGAGAGAAACTTTCCCCCTGGGCTTGGGAAAGCATTTAATTCAGTTTTTTAAGTCTAACTTACCTATGTTATTATTTTTAAATATCAATTTTGACCCTTAAAAAACTCTTCATATTAATAACTTTTAATAATAAAAAATCAAGGGTATTGTTGGAAGACCGAACAACTTTTCATTCCTAATACTCCACTAACCAAACATGGGAATGAGAGAAAGTTAAATTTCCTAGTCCTCATTTCCAAGTGTTCCCAAACATGGGAATGAACATCTTCCATTCCCATCTCGTGGGATTAGACATGGGAAGTTTATTATTCCCAAGAAGTTCAATCCACGATCAAAACGAGCCCTAGTCTTTAAAATGGTTAGGTGTTTGATTCTTATACTTAATACGATGGTTAAATAACTTGTAGAAAATATGAGATTTTAATATAATATAATATGTACTACTATTTTGAATACAAGCAGTAGTCTAAACTACAAGGGGGAGAAGAGTTTTTTACATACACACTACAAAAGTGCTTTAAACTTGAGACCACTAGTTTGCAAGTCAATGCCATTTTCCATTGGACTAAATCTCGTTAGCATCTATACTACTATTTAAAAGAAGTGGTTTGGTCACCCTTTTGTAAGAAAATACCTAGTATGTCCCCAATTTTCTCATTACTCTGTATTTCCTATAATAGCTACCATCACTCTCTTTATCTCTCTACTCCTCTAGCAATAGCTTCCCTTATCATTTCTTCTTCGTAACGCCCAATTTTTTCGTTTTCATTTTTCCACATTTGGGCAGTTACAATTTAATTTCTATATTTTTTAAGTTTTATTTTGATTATAACTCATTGTGGTTTCTTATAATATGGGGGAATTCCAATATGAAAATCTATCTTTTAAATAGTAACATTAAAATAAAAGTTTAAATTGAGGGATCCATCAAATAATATTTGAGGGACCCTTGTGAGCCCACTATGTATTGCATCTCTGGCAAAAATTGTTTGAATCTAAAGTCATTTGACCATTCAATTAATTTTTCTCATTTTAGTATTTTCTGGAAGCACCGTGTTCATCTATTTTATTATTCACAACTAGATGTCTTAATGGTTTTCAATTTGCCTAATTTGTTGCAAGGATGATTTATGAATGAAGACATGAAAAATAGACAGTTCAGGTCGTTGAAATAAAATTTGTAATGGATCCTACAAAGTGTCCCTCAAATAAATCCCTCAATAGAAGGGTAATAGTTATTTGGAGGATTATAGCTATTTACATTTCATGAATTCCTTTTTGTACGAGCTTGAACCTACTTATTGATCTAATCTAGAGATTCAATGCATGTAGTGGAACATGATTGCATTCAAAAGTAATTAATTGTTTTTTTCTGCCTCTTTTTACTCATTGAGGTTGAGATTTCATAAAGATGAACAAGCGGTCCATTACCACCAACATCGATGTTATCCCTAACTTAATCACATGTGTAGTCCAACATGTATGATGTTTTATTACAAAAGGCCTCATTATTATTACTAGTTGGAGTACAAACTTAGATATTGTAATTTTCATTTTTTCAAGTTTTTAGTGTGATACTCTTACAATCTTCAACAGTTTAAATTTACAAAGTAATGTTTGCAAGAGGCTAATAGCTCATCAGTACAAGAGAGTTTGTGTGGGATGTGATCAAGATGTTGAGTACATATCCCACAATGAAAAAGGGAAGTCTTTCTCAATAGTTTAAAAGATCTTGGACCCTTTCATTTATTGTCAATTGAGTTGGGCTCAATGCTTACATTCTAATACGGTATCAGAGCATATTATCCACATGTTGACCGTAACGGACACACGTACTTTCACTTCACCGAATAATATATGTTGTCCACTTATTTGACTTGAGTAACTCAATACTCGAGTGTATTGTGTGTTGATCTCACACTGAGAAAGAGAAGCCTTGCCTAATAGTTTAAAAGACACTGAGAAAGGGAAGCCTTGCCTAATAGTTTAAAAGATTTTAAGCTCTCAACCCATTGTTAATTGATTCTGGGTTAGCTAGATTGTCCCATTCTAATACATACAATACTAAAATACACAACCATATATATGTTGGAGAAGCTAGTTCCACAACTATCCCAATCCTGTGGTACGAACAAGTAGATGGGAATAAGACATATAATTAATTAGCTCATCTGCTGACTAAGTATAGCATAAACTACAAGATTAACTTTGAGTTCAAATGTATAATGAAACATAATCAAGGCAAAGAACAAAATAATATTGAGATTTAATTATTTGCAACAAAGACAAAAGGAAATGCAATATTAATTTGTGGTCCCGTACCTCTTGCATTAAACTAAACGCAGATGAACTCATCCTTCACTTCAAATCATGAAAATAGGGATCAAACAATTACGAAGAATGGGAAGAGAAGAAGAAGAAGAAGAAGAAGAAGAAGAAGAAGAAGAAGAAGAAGAAGAAGAAAAAAACAATTAGGAAAACTTGTCTACTTAATATTATTAGGGAAGAGTTCATGTTTAGAATGTAACAGCTTCTACTTTTCTTTTTTTGTTGACTGGTCGATGAAATCGAGGGGTTGAATATGGCCAAGAAAAAGTTACTTTTTTTCTTTTTTTTTTTCCAGGTTGTAAGCCAGAAGTGTTATATATGCATGCATTCTTTTTTAATATTTTCAATTTTACAACGTATTGATTTTATTAATTTTCTAAAAGAATATATATATATATATATATATATATATATATATATTTATTTTATATATATATTTATTTATTTATTTATCCAACCTCAGGTCCACCTGGAAATTGCCTTGGAAGAGGACAAAATCGTAATTCAAGAAATTTGGACATAAATGTGACAGTTTGGAAACTTGTCTGATAGTTCATGCATCCTCAAGATGCTTGCCTGGCTGGGAATCTGGGATTTTAAACCCAATATTAGGAATTTACATAATTTCATGATTTGAATTAAAAATAAAATAAAATTTGAAATATCCGTTGTGTTCTAGTTCTTTTAGAAAAATTAACCTTGACCAAAAAAAAAATCCAAATTTTTTCTATCAAATTACTTTAATCCAAATGCAGCCTATGCCTTTTGACTAAAGATTTATTTATTTATCTAATTTTTTATATTATCAAATCTATCTACTTGGTTTCATGTCCTACAAAACACACCAACTTACAAAGTCTAATTAAGTGCATGATACCACGTGACCGTACTACCGTATTATTTTATAATCTTTTGCTTAGATTGAGAGAAAATGACATGATGCTCTCATTCTAAGTGCGATATGTTGTTGGGAATACCATCAATGTATAATTAGTTGGCATTTAGAGTCGAGATTATTTATGATCTCCAATCAAATGATAAAGGGTAATGCTAGGCTTACCACATTTTTCATACCACATTCATACCACCTCTCTAATAGAGGTGGAGCCCACCAATACAATGGGGCCCACCTCTATTAGAGAGATGGTATAAATGTGGTATGAAAAATGTGGTAAGCCTAGCATTTTCCTTTTATAAAATGAGGTATTCTTAAATTCCAGCATCCCTAATATGCATGTTTGCATGAAGAAATTAATTTTACTCTAACCAAAATTGGTGGGCTCCACCTCTATTAGAGAGGTGGTATGAATGTGGTATGAAAAATGTGGTAAGCCTAGCATTACCCTTTATCATTGGAAAATGCTAGGCTTACCACATTTTTCATACCACATTTATACCATCTCTCTAATAGAGGTGGGCCCCATTGTATTGGTGGGCTCCACCTCTATTAGAGAGGTGGTATGAATGTGGTATGAAAAATGTGGTAAGCCTAGCATTACCCTTTATCATTGGAAAATGCTAGGCTTACCACATTTTTATACCATCTCTCTAATAGAGGTGGGCCCCATTGTATTGGTGGGCTCCACCTCTATTAGAGAGGTGGTATGAATGTGGTATGAAAAATGTGGTAAGCCTAGCATTACCCTTTATAAAATGTGTGTTCTTCCTTGTTCTACTTCACATCTCTCATACCTCAGTCTCCAATATTCTTCTATGTACTTAATATAAAAAAAAAAACCAAACAAAAACAAAACTCTTACAACAAACAAAAGCCAGCTCAGGCTTCTTTTTCTTTTTTTTTCCTTTCTTCTCTTTGTTAACAAATTAATCACCAAGAATTCTTCAATGGCTTCTCCAGCAAAGCCGAAAGGTACATCTCCCGTCGCTCCGGCCCACGATCAAGCTTCCTCCCAACAACCCACTTCAACTTCTTGAATCCAACGCTCTCAATGAGCGGTCCATAGACCTCTTCCAACTGCTCACCTACACAGAAAAAATGGTCAAGCCAAAATAACCCCCCAGGCCTAAGGATTCTGTAGATATCAAACACCGCAAAATGAAGCAATGTCGTTGGTATCCAATTACTCAAAACGTGCATTGAATGCACAATATCCAAAGTGTTATCGAAAAAAGGCAGTCTCTGTGAAATGCTTATGTACAAAGGCACAACCCCTCTTGAAGCTATGAAGCTGTTAAAAGGACCGTTCAAGTTCATTGAAGTTGTCACAATTGTGACGTTCCTTTCCCTCATTCTCACAGCGAATGTGGCCACTCCGCCGCCAATGTCCAGCCCGATTCGTATCGTCCCGGGTTTCTTGAACCCCAAGACTTCATCCACACCGAAGTCTAGCCCTCCTCCTTTGCCTTTTCCCCAACGAGTCTTCTCATTTCCTTGGAGGTCAAAGCAGTCTTTGCAGTCGTCAAAACCCTTATTGTTTTTCTTTCTGTTGACGAGGCAGCTGTAGTTTTTGCATTTGTAAGCTGTCCATACGACTGAGGAGTCGGATGGTGTGGACCAGAAGCTTTTGGGAAGAGGATAGGGTTCCACATAGTTAGCGTTTGAGGCAGGGCGGCAGCGGCGGCGGGGTAAGGGCTCGCAGCCCTTGAGGAGGAGCCTTTGGGCTAAAAACTCGTCATCCGGACACGACCCGTTGACTTTGTAGGACATGAAGCGGCTGAGGAGATCGGGGAAAAGCGTGCATGCTTGGCCAACTGCAGGGTAAATGGTGTTGGAGTCAAAGTTGATGTTGTAGCCAAATGGGAGGAGTTGTCCGGATGCAAAGGCAAGGAATTCGGGTGGGAGATCGGATGTGTCTTCCGTAGGAGCCTCCGGGAGGTTTAATCCCGTGGTTGGGGTTGCAAGGTCAGCGGTGGTTGCTGCGGTGGAGAGAGATTTGAGAGAGCAGATGGAAAAGGATGAGGAAAAGAACAAAGTGAGGAGATTTGTTGAGAGGAGAAGAAAAAGGAAGAAGATATTTGAGGTGTAGAGAGACTTGGATTGAAGTGGGGAATCCGAGGCCATTGGTGTTTGTGCTGTCTTTGTTTGTTCAGGTCACTTAGAGATGAAGCAAAGAGATGGAATGAGAACAAAGAAATGGTATGAGGGTACCTAACTATATGCGTTGGGATTTATACCACTAAACTACATGTACTTAGTTTAGCCTCTAAGACATAGCCCGATTTTTGTACTTGTTTTATTCTTCTCCTCGAATAAAATGTTATCGCCTTTTGACTAAAAAAATAAAACTACATGTAGTTAATATATTGTTAGCACTTGCGATCCTATAGTCTTTTCTAGAGCATATCAGATATTAATTACTTCCATTTTTCAGAAATAAAAAATAAAGAATAATTTATGATGAGATATTGTAATTAAAATATCAGTAGTTTTCAAAATAATCTACTGAGGAAGAAGCGATTAGGTTCATTGACAGTGTAAAATATTATAAGAAGGAACTAATATGTAGAATGGACAAATGAGAATCAATTGACTTTGCCTAGAGAAAGAAAATAAAAAGGAGAGGGAGAAAGTCAACTTACATAATAATGGTTGTAACTTGTAAGTAGTGGCAGCCCATTAGTAATTTATATATGCTAGCACAAGAGACTAAAAAATTAATTAATTAACAATCCATTCTTATATCATTATTGTTTCATTTAATAGCAAACGAATGCCAAGAGAGTTACACTTATTTTGAATATTGAGATAAATGTCCATTACAAGTTCGATTTCATAATATCGCTATTTCTGGATGAATTCGGAATATCGCTATCTCTTTTATGGATTCAAGGGGTGATACAATTTGCGATTAGTGTGAGGTTATCATCATATAATTAACTGTAAGGAACTGTGTACTGTTGAAGTTAGTATCAGGGAACTTGAACATGGTCAATTCTAGAACAAAACCTAGAGGAGGGCCCACTATAGTTTTTTATTTATAAAAAAACCCATATATGTATATATCATGCATATATGATGTTGGTGGAAGTTGAACCCATTAACAATATAAGGTGGAACAATAATTACCATATTGAGAGAGAGAGAGAGAGAGAGAGAGAGAGAGAGAGAGTGCTTAAACAAACATATACAAACAATTGAAGGCTAAGACATGGAGATTTCGAAGCATAGATACACTTTTGACCTTTGCAAATTGCAACAACGTGCATGCCTAGATCCGCATAACATGGTAAACCTTGGTCAATACTGCCCAATAGCGCACCGAAGGAGCAATAGAGGCCCCAAAGTCCAAACCAGCCAATGGATATAAAACAACTTGAATCACCTAAATCATATTATAACTAACAAAAGGAAGATCGATTTAATACGTACAATGCTTATCTTATGCACATGGGACTGGAATAACCACATGTGGAAATCCTGAACTTTTGTGTCAACTCAACCCATCTCACCACTTGAAATTGTTAGGATTTATGGTGGGTGGGTTTTGTTTTTTCATTTGGTTAGGGGGAGCTCTTCTAACTTATGTCCTGTTTTCAATATAAAAAAATGTTAGGAATATAATCGTTCACGATCGTGAGTGATTCCAAACTATTGATGAATTACAGAGGTTGGGATTCACCAACAATATGCAGGCAACAATTGTTGGTAGTTTGAATAGAAAAATAGAATCCCACATTGAAAAATACAAAATCACTCAACACTTTATAACGATTTATCTTTCCTTCTTATTAACTTTGAATGGCCTTGGAAGTGGGCTTGACTTTAGCCCATACCCTTGGCTTTTGTCTTGAATTGTGTTTAACAATAAATTAATTTCTATTATATAAGTGTTAATTCGAATTTAATTTTTAAATTTTGAATTAACAGACATAATTGTGCTGAAGAGTTGTGATTCTTGTCTGAAAAAGGACAAACATAGCTATTTAAAGCCCATTCGAAATCAGAATATAATCCCTTCTTGCTGCAGTTAATGTAGTAAATAAATAAAGCTCATATAACTTTTTTTAAACAAAGCACACAGATGACAATTGGAATTATATTTACTCATACTGATCTAAAAAACTGTTTCCATTTCAAAAAAGAATGAGACTGTTATATATCCGTTTTTAAAAGAGAGTACCCATTAGGACTATTTTTCGTAGTGAAAGGCAAGGAATTCATGAGGGAGGTTGTATAAGTCTTTGGTGGTGGCATCATGAGGCATTAGGGCAGTCCTCCGGGTGGCAGGGCCTGCGGTGGTGATGGTTGAGATAAACTCGCCCCTACTCAATGCTTGTAGACAAAAACATTATATGATATTTGAATTTTAAAATAATATAAATAATTAATTAACTAATCGGGTTTGATTTAAATCACATAATCGAGGCGATTTTTTGATTAATTAAGTATATATTAATTAGGCATGACCCAATGTGAAACCCACAAGCCACTTATTTGGGCCAATTGGATGGCCCAACCCAAACTATTCTACATTTATGACTAGGTCTTCTAAAGAGCTCAAGGGAACTCCAGTTTTCCAATATGGGATTAAGGGCCTGTTTGGGAGTGTTTATAGAAGGGTTAAAAGTGCTTTATGACAAATAAAAGCGCTTCTAACGGCGTTTGACAGAAGAGTTTAGAAGTGCTTATGGGCCATAAAAGCACTTTCTGGAGAAGCACCTATCATGTGTTTCTTTAGAAAGCACTTCGATTTTTTATGAAATTTTCAACAACTTTATAATAAAAGCGCTTTTGTTAGAAGCGCTTATGATCCAAAGCGCTTCCTAAAGAATCAGTCCCAAACATTACTTGCAAATACCTTGCAAAGCCGACAGTCAACGGTTTGTGAGAAAGTCAAATTTTGTTAGTTGAGGTCTCGTCTTCAGTCCCAAAAAATAAAATAGTCAACTCTTGTTACAAATAGTTAAAGATTTCTCTTGTAACTTAGTTTAGAGAGCAAATACAAAAGAGATGCGCTGGTGACAACTGAAGTTGATCATCGTTTTAAGATGCCATTAACGTCAGCAGAAAAAAAAAATAATGAGACTGTTATAATCCATTTTTAAAAGAGACTCCCCATTAGGACTATTTTTTGTAGTGAAAGGCAAGAAATTCATGAGGCGGTTGCATGAGTCTTTGGTGGCGGCATCATGAAGCATTAGGGCAGTCCTCCGGGTGGCAGGGTCTGCGGTGGTGATGGCTGAGAGAAGGAAGAAAAGAATAAGTTGATGAGATATGGTGAGAGAAAGAAAGGAAGAGGAAAATATATTTGAGGAGGAGTCCGAAGCCAACAGTGAGACTTGGACACATGAGCCTAGTTAGTGTTGGCGGAACAACAATAAGTATTTAATTGAATTTAACAATTAAATAAAACAATAAATAAAACAGTCAATTAAAAATTAACTGTTTTAATTAACTAATCATGTTTAATTTAAATCACAGAACCAAGGCTATTTTTTGATTAATTAAATATACATTAATTAGGCATGACCCAATGGTCAAACCCACAACCACTTATTTGAGCCATTCAACCCAAATTAATCTACATTTATGACTAGGTTTTATAAAGAGCTCTATATTTCAACTCAAACTTTGCTTGCAAACACCTTGCAAAGCCAACAGTCAGCAGTTTGTGAGAAAGTTAAATTTTGTTAGGAGGGTGTATTCAATTTAGATTTTAAATTTTTTTAAAGAAGTTTAAAAATTTAGGTGTATTCAATCACGATTTTATAAAGAGTGCTGCTATTTCCATCCACCTTATCTTCAAAATATAAAAACAAATTTATCCATTTGTAAAATGACTTTTAAGGACTTTAGATTAAAAAAACACATATTCTCCTTCATCCTTGTCAAACCCCAACCCCTCCCTCTCTCCCTCATCCCGACCAAACCCAAATCAAAATTCTAATAAAACTTCAAAATTTCCAATTGGGTCCAATCCAATTCCATCAGATTTCTCCTCAGTTTCTAAACCCAAGGGCACATGCTTTCTATTCCATTTGCTCAGTTTACTCTTCATCTTCTTTCTAATTTTGGCTTTTCTCTCCGTTATTGTTTTCGTTCAGTGGATAGACGATGAACATTGAGAGCGATTTTCTTTATTTTTTAATTTTTAATAATACTTTACAGAGGATCCCACACGTTTTGATTGACAGAGGTGAAGGTTTGAAGCATGCTTTGAATGAAAGTAAGGATAATTTGCTTGAATTAATAATTAAAGGGTATTTTAGGAATAATGGTGGGTGTAAAAATAGGATTATGTTTTTTTCAAATTTATATATTGTTTTCTTTCGATGGATAGACGATGAACATTGAGAGCGATTTTCTTTATTTTTTAATTTTTAATAATACTTTACAGAGGATCCCACGCGTTTTGATTGACAAGGGTGAAGGTTTGAAGCATGCTTTGAATGAAAGTAAGGATAATTTGCTTGAATTAATAATTAAAGGGTATTTTAGGAATAATGGTGGGTGTAAAAATAGGACTTTGTTTTTTCAAATTTACATGGTGGGTGGGAAAATAGGACTGGGGGTGGAAATAACAGAACTCTTTATAAAAGTCTATTCAATTCTTGGTGTATTCAATTCAGACTTTTTAAACTCCATTAAAATCAATAATAAAATTCTAACAAACTCAGTTAAAATCTATATATTAATTCAGTCAAAATCTATGTGGAATTTGTAGAATTCAGTCAAACTCAATTAAATTCAATTAAACTCCATCAACTTTATAACTCTTTTAAAATCATGTAATATCTAAATTGAATACACCTTCCTTAGTTGAGGTCAAGTTGAGTTAGTCAAGTCTTGTTACAAATAGTTAAAGATTTCTCTTGTACCTAGTTGCAATTAGTTTAGAGAGCAAATACAAAAGAGATGTGCTGGTGACAACTGAAGCTGATCATCGTTTTAAGATGCCATTAACGTCAGCAGACAATTTAAAACCTATAAATATGGCCCCATATTCAGAGCCCCAACTACAGCTTCCAGCAAGATGACTAAGGCTTCACTCAAATTGGTTTGCTTGGTTGTCCTCCTGGTTATTGCAGCAGCAAGTAATAATCTTTGCCTATGTCTCCCTCTTCTATCTCTGAAGTACGAACTCTCAATATGGTATTGATAAGGTGTCGATGTTATTGTTGACAACACGTTAATAACAAAACGTACGAACATATTATCGATACGTTATACAAAATGCATCCATTAACAAAGCACCAACGCCTTGTACTGAGAATTTATGACATTATTATGCTAACAAAATCGTAAACCTCTTTCTAAATTTTTATAATGTCATTTTGTTTCCTTAAAGAGTTGTATGGTGAGTTGCAGGTTTGCCAAAGAGAGCCGAAGGTCAAAACTAGACCAAGTCGCCATGGAATCCAGAGAGCTAGAGCCTATAGAGCTGGATGCTCCCCATCACTTGCTTTCAGAGGAATGCGATCCATTATGTTGGCCTGATTGTATTTGTAAGTGAAGAAATTTATTGCTTGTATAATAAAAGGAGGACGGCAACCACACACAAACTCCAAATGTTGATCAAGCGCTCATGATGAAAACCAGTGATCTTGTTTTAAAATTAGGGAATAGTTAGTTGTTTTGTGCTGGGTTCGTCATGATATATGTAGAGTGAAAACCAGTGATCTTGTTTTTATAATTTTCTGGGCATGAAGTTTGTGGAATTAATTCCTTGCAGAATGCATAGACTCAGAAATTTGGCCATTTAATGTATTTGCAAATATGTGCAAGAGTGCTTTTCGCAAATTTCGTTCTTAAAAGAAACATAAGCCAGCTTGTTTTCTTAAGGGTGTGCAAGCTTAAGGATCTTTAGGGTGCTTTAGGTGGGTTCTTCCACCTAAAGCTCTTCTGCTTCGTCCCACCATGAAAATATATTCATAATTTCCACATTAAAAACAAAAAAATTGCAGACATTCTTAATCTGATCGTTGGATCAAACTAACCAATTTTTTTCAACCGCTAACCAATTTGATTCAACGATTAGTCTTAAATAAAACCCACTATAGAATTCCTGAGAATTGTTAAACATGGTGTTTATGCCTTAGCTCAAGAGCCCAAACCGAAAAAATAGAACAGCAGGGCGAACCAGCCCAAGAAGTGACCAATAAGGGCCCAACGAAAGTCATTACACAAGCCCACAATGTATAATAATTAAATCAACTAGCTAAAAGTTCCTCAAAATTCGAATCAATACTAGTGACATTTCATCAGGTGGTTTACCAAGTAGGCAATTGGCCAATAAATAAATAGGTTTTTAGTAATAAAAAAATTCATTTTTACATGACATATTGTACAAATACTCATATAAAGTTTATTTGAAAAGAAAAAAAATTCAAAACTAGCCATTTATTCTTTTTTAATTAGTTCTTAGTGCGTTTAAATTTTCTAATAACCAATTAAAAAAATTACAAGTGGTTAATTTTATATTTTTCTTTCTAAATAGGCTCTATATGGATACTTGTATAATATTTCATGTTAAAATAAGCATATACATGAAAAGCTCATAAATAAAGCAATTAATTCAATAATAAAATTAAGAAAGTTTGTGGATATTGCATATTTTTTCATATAAAAATGATTTGATGCTTTCCATACACAAAATAATAAAAACAGGCCATGTGCATGTTCTCCTCCTTTACTCATTTCAACTCTATCTGGATGGTTTCATTCTGGCACTCAACATGTGCATGGGATAGGAGAGACGTAGAAGAAGATTTTTTTTTCTTTTTCGAAAGTTGATATTTTATAAAACAGGAACCTCGTCCAAAATGGGGAGAGCACAAAATTACAAAACAAGCAACCCAGTAAGGAAGCACAATAGAATAATTAATATGTGATATCATATGAACAAGAACACCAAGATTGTCCCAGATGGTGATACAAACAGATAAACAAAAGTTAAAAATTACAACACAAATTGAAAAAAAACAGCAAAATGCCCAATTGAACAACGAACAACAGATAAACTTGTCGGCCACAAATCCACCACCATAACCAAAACTACTCAAATCCATCAAAAGCCGAGAGAACCGAAACCATGAAATAGGAAGAAGGTGGTGCAAGCACCCAAACAGTAGCATTGTCGTGGCTCTACACAACTTCTAGGATTTATGTGAGAGATCACGTTTTGAATAAGCCGCAATATCCAAGAGACGCACCTAAGTCGAGATGGAAGAGTGAGGGACCCCAACTCCACCAGATTCGAAATCGATGCACCTAGAAGATAACAACAACCAATCAGGGGATAGCCAAAAGGACATCTCTGAGGGAAAGGTATGGTGAAGATTTGGGGATGCAAACAGGGAAGGAGGCATGATGCCTCAAATACGAGTAGGTGAAGCTCGAACACGTCACTAGCCCTCAAAAGAGAGAACTACGAACTAAGCAAGATGGGGATTCCAAATGCTCCGAGAGAGAATCCTCGAAAGGCTAGCAAGACCCAGTATAGTGGGAGGGGGGGAGGAGCCCCCGTCACTGAGATGGAGTGGCATTGGATCTAGCTAGGAGAAGCAGTTTTGCTATTTGGGAGAGAAGCGGTGCAAGGTTGTTGACAAAATCCGAATATTGACGTAGAAGAAGATATACTCCAAGTCTAAACATACAAAAATAATAATTAGTAAGTTAATCGTCTAAGGGCGCCACAGTTAATTGCTTAAGTTGTTAAGAGCATTTATCTCCGTATCATAATAAAAAATATATTTTTCCTCCCGAAATATCGCTTATATATAAATAAATTAATATTGACACAATTTTCTTAATAAATTTTTTTGGTAAATGTTCATTAAAAAAAAAAAGTAATAAGTACACTTTTTATTATTATTTATTTATGCATATTGCAAGGCCAACTTGACCCCCAATGGACTGATGGACCAGGTATCAAAAACCCACTCCATTCATGGAGAAAAACTTGCCTGGCACGGGTATGCCAACGTAAGCATTCCACCTAAGTATCCCCATCCAATTATATTTCGACACCTGTCAATCACTTTAACACTTAAAAAATAAAACATTTTGGTCATCTCTGCCCCTCCATCCCCGCGTCTGCAACTCTCACCCCAGGTTTTTTCTATCTCCTCTCTCCCTCTTATTCTCTCTCTCAGACGTTCCCTTCTCTCCATCTGTCAACCACCTTAACACTTTATAAAAAAATAAATAGTAAATTGAGCTTAGACCCATAAAATTCATTTTAAATCACCTACAACCCTTCCTTTTGTTTTTGTATTTAAAATACCCAATTTTTTCAAATAATACCCGTTGACTAGGATCCAACTAAGCAAGTTACCTAATATAACTTAAAATCTGATTTATTGTATTTTTCGAATTCCAAAACTACCCCTATTTATGACTTAATGTGTTATGGGGAGGGTGTAACTAATGACACACGTTGAATTTGGAAAGATCTCTAAATGATTGTAATGGATGTAGGAATTAATTTAGAAACTTATTTGAAATTAAATATTAAATTCAACATTAACGTACTAGTAATCTATTTTACGACTAGTAATCTATTTTTGAATTAATGTTGTTTTCCTTTTATGAATTACGACTAGTAATCTATTTAACGTATTAGTAATTTAAATTCAATATTAAATTTAGGAATTAATGTTGTTTTCCTTTTATGAATTATACGACTAGTAATCTATTTATTATAGTTTTATGAATAATACTAGTGTACATTTTAATTATGTTGAAAAATAATTTGATAATCTATTTATTGGTTTTTTTTAAAACATTTTTTTCAAATGAACCTATTTTTTCTCTAAATAATGTACCTATTTTTTTCTCTAAATAATGTACCTTTTTTTTCTCTAAATAAAGCACCTATTACTTGTTTTATGAAAAATAATTTGATCATCTTTTTATTGTTTGTTTTATGAAAACAATTTTTTAAAAATGAACCTATTTTTTCTCTCCAAATAATGTACCTATTTTTTTTTTCTCTAATAATGTACCTAGTAAAACAATTTACCTAGTATAATGAACTTTTTTTTTTTGCTAAATTTT